AAAAAAAAAAATCCTTTTGGCTTTTCTTTCACAAAATTGGAACATTCCTCACCTCCCTGCTGCTACTATCTTGCTCTGAGCCTTCTTCACGTCCCACCTGACCTACGTCTACAGTGGATTCTTTACTTCTGCCTTTGCCCCTCTATAATCTATTATCCATCTAGTTACTGCTAAGTGCCTTCGAGTCAGTTTTGACTCATAGCAACCCTGTATAGGGTTTCAGCTGGTGGGTTTGAACGACTTTGTAGTTAGCAGTCTAGTGCTTAGCCTACAGTGCCACATCAGGACTCCATCCGTGTAATTGTTGGTGTTGCTAAGTGGTGTGTAGTCACCAGAGATAATTTAGAGACATTCATTGGCCCTGTCCTTCTTCTGCTCAGAGTCTTCCCATGGCTCTCCTTTCATTCAGAGTAAAGACCCACAACTCGGAAGGATCTGCTCCCACCACCTCTTAAATATCATCTCCCACTCTCCTGTACTCCCTTTGCTCCAGCCACACTGGCCTCTTGCATTTTCTTGAACACAACACATCTCAGAGTCATTGCACTAACAATTCCTCCTCACAATTCTCTCTCTCCAAATATCTGCATGGCTCACGTCCTCCTGTCCTTCAGGTACCACCTTCTTAGTGAAACCTTCCCTGGCCACTCAATTAAAATGGAAGTACTCAACTCAACAGGCAGTGCTGGTCTCCCTCCTGTTTTCTTTCCCACCTTATATCCTTACTAACATACCAGATCTGTACCGTATCTCCTCTACCCATAGCAGCATGGTCTCATAGAATTTTCTATGAAAACGGAAATGTTGTATACCTATGCTGCCCAATATTGTGGCCATTAACCACAGGTGACTATTGGACACTTGAAATATAGCTCATGAATTTTAAATTTCCTTTTATTCTAATCAATTTAAATTTAATTGTTGTGGTTAAATACCATCAAGTCAGTTCCGCCTCATAGCGACCCTGTATAGGGTTTCCGAGGAGCAGCTGGTGAGTTTTGAATCCCCGACCTCGAGGTTCCAACAGATCTTGTGGTCTAGTACTTACCCTACAGGACGCTTAAATTTAATTAGTCACATGTGTGGCGCTGTGGGTTAATGTGCTAGACAGCAAAGTTGGTTTGAACTATAAGGTTGGCAGGCAGTTCAAGCTCACCAACCACTTTTGGGAAACCCTATACAGGGAGACTGTGGGTCGCAACCGACTTGATGGCACTTAACAACAACAATTAGCTAATGGAGCTCTGGTAGCATAGTGGTTATGAATTGGGCTGCGAACCACAAGGTCAGCAGTTCAAAACTACCAGCTGCTCCGCGGGAGAAAGATGAGGCTTTCTGCTTCCATAAAGATTTACAGCCTTGGAAACCCTGTGCAGGGTCACTATGAGTTGGAACTGACTCCACAGTACTTAACAACAACAACAACAACAAGAAGCATATATTAGATGGACTCCTGGTGTAGCACTGTGGGTTAGTGCGCTGGGTCACAAAGTCGCTTTGAACCACAAGATCAGCGGTTCAGGCTCACCAGCTGCTCCTCAGAAACCCTATACAGGGTCACTATGGGTCGGAACCGATTTAATGGCACTTAACAACAACAAAAAAACCATATTAGATGGCACAATTCTAGAATGTCAAGACAGGATTTTTGTTTTGTTCAGATACACTATCCCAATGTCTAGAACAATGTCTGGCGCATGATAGGTGTTTGATAAGTCTTTGTGAAATAAACCATTCACTCGCCCTTCAGATAGAGCTCAAGTCCTAAGTCTGGCATTGGTGGCCCCCAATGACCTGGTCCCATCCTTCTAGGCTAATGCTGGACATTCGCTCTCCAGTGAATTTGTAACTTTCTTAGAACATTTCAGGTAGTTCCAAGTAGGGGCCTTTGTCTTTACTTTGCCTCTTCTCAGCTTTTCCCCTTCTTCTTCTGTTAATTGCCCTGTTTTCGTTTTTCATGTTTTTAACTTGCATCTCATCATGTAAAGTTCTTCCTGTGACTTCTTCAGCTAAAGTACATTTTCTTTTCTCTCGTGGCCACCATCCTTGTACTTTTCCTTCTTTGGATTTAGAGTAATTTAATAATTGTTAATTGCTTAAGAGCTATATTTCCATACCTTTCTTACTGGCCCACCACTTCCCTTATTGAAAGGATATGTGTGTATCTCTCCCTTCCTTACAGCAGTCACAGGGCCCAATGCAACACCTGGCAGTTGGGTAAATCATATCAACGTTGGTAGAATGAGTGACTGAGGATAGGAGGAGTGATCCCAGGTCTCCCTGAGTTTGGAGGAGACCGTCCGAGGTGTCTCTGAGTCCCTGACTCTGTGTAATGAGATTCCTCTCCTCTCACAATACAAGTGACATTTATTGGCTTGCAAAGACTAGAGTTGTTCCTTCAGACTTCTCTGAACCTCAGTTTCCTCATCTGAAAGAATGGGAGTGCTTATTGCGAGGGTGCCAAATGTTGTACAAAAAGACAGCTATTATTAATATAACTAGTTAATATATTATATTATATTGCTATGGTTGTTGAGTGCTGTTGAGTCAATTCGGACCCATAGCATCCCTGTATAGGGTTTGTGAGGAGCTGCTGGTGAGTTTGAACTGCTGACCTTGTGGTTGACAGTCCAGTACTAATCCTACAACACTACACCAGGTGTCCAACCATCACATAAAAGGTAAGTTAATTAGATGCTTGACCAAATATAGCAGGCTCATTTTTAAGTTGATCATTTTGTACCCTTGTGATTGATGTTATAATTTTTGACAGAAAAAATTCCCTACCCCTGCTTAGGGAAACCTTTCAGAGAAGGGTTTACATTATATTATATTACATTGTTGTTATTAAGTGCCTTTGAGTTGCTTCCAACTCATAGCAATCCTGTATAGGGTTTCTGAGGAGTGGTTGGTGATTTTAAACCTCCAACTTTGCAGTTCAACCGAACTTTAGGCCCAGTGCTTCTCCTACGGTGCCACACCAGGACTCCCATAGTATATTATATTAACTGTATAATATGCTAAAGGTCAGCTCTGCTTCTGTTTCCCTCCAATACTATACACTGGTTACCATCAAGTCAAGTCAGACTCATGGTGATCCCTTACACGTCAGAGTAGAACTGTCTTCCATAGGAATTTCAGTAGCTGATTTTTCAGAAATAGATCACCAGACATTTCTTCCAAGGTACTTCTGGGCAGACTCAAACATCCCACCTTTGGGTTGGCAGCTAAATGTGTTAACTGTTTGCACCACCAGGGACTCCCCCATACTGTACACACATACACACACCTGTTACCATTGAGTCTATTCCAACTCATGGTAACCTTATAAATCAGCATAGAACTGCCTCATAGGAACTCCAAAGCTGCAATCATTATGGGAGCAGACTGTCGCATGCCCAACATGGGTTCGAACCACCAAACTTTTGGCTAACATATATATATATGTATGTGTGTGTGTGTGTAACACATACTATATTGTTGTTGTTGTTAAGTGCCGTTGAGTTGGTTCCAACTCATAGCAACTCTGTATAGAGTTCCCAAGGAGTTGCTGGTGGGTTTGAACCACTGATCTTGAGGTTAGCAATCCAAAGCTTATCCTAAAGCATCACACCAGTCCTCTGCATTATTATTTACAATGTAATAGTAATTATATTGTAATACAGAGCCCTGGTGTGGTGTTGTAGGATAAGCATTGGAATGCTAACCACAAGATTGGCAGTTCAAACCCACCAGTCGCTCCTTGGAAACCCTATACAGGGTCGCTATAAGTTGATACCAACTCAACCACACTTAACAACAGTGTAATGTAATATTTTATATAAGCAACAGTCAAGAAACCAAACGCTGTATTGCATTAGACAAATCTGCAACAAAAGGCCCCTTTAAAGTGTTAAAAAGCAAAGATGTTAGTTTGAGGTCTAAAGTGCACCAGATCTAAGCCATGATACTTTCAATCGCCTCATATGCATGCGAAAGTCTAGCAATGAATAAGGAAGACCAGAGAAGACTCAATGCATTTGAATTATGGTGTTGGAGAAGAATGTTGAAAGTTCCATGGATTGCTGGAAGAGCAAACAAATCTGTGTTGGAAGAAGTACAGCCAGAATGTTCTTTAGAAGCCAGGATGATAAGATCTTGTCCCTCATACTTTGTATATGCTTTCAGGAAGGCCCAGTCCCTGGAGAAGGACATCATGCTTGGTAAAGTGGAGAGTCAGTGACAAAGAGAAAGACCTCTCCTCACCCGCAACAGGATGGATTGACACAGTGGCATAGAACTAGGCAGTGTTGTGCATAGGGTCACCATGAGTCAGAACCAACTTGACAGCGCATAATATGCTACTGCTATATGCTGTTGAGTCAGTTCCAGCTCATAGCAACCCTATGTAGGATTTCTGAGGCTGTAAATCTTTACGCAAGGAGAAAGCCTCGTCTTTCTCCTGCAACAGCATATACTATGTTGTTGTTAAGTGCCGTTGCATCGGTTCCAACTCATAGAGACCCTGTATAGGGTTTCTGAGGAGCGGCTGGTGAGCTTGAACCACTGAACTTGTGGTTCAAACTGACCTTGCAGTCCAGCTCATTAACCCACAGCACTACACCGCTAGTTATTTCTTAGTATCTCACAGATTGGTCCTGTACCCTCTACTCCTGTCTATCTTTGCCCCATACCTGGGTGACTGTATCCGGGTCATTGGCTTTAAACATCACCTGCTTTCTGACGACACCCTCATTTCTACCTTGAGTCCCTAACTCTTCCCTAACTCTTCATGACGAGACCCCTTCCCTCCACAGTGAGAAATGGCACCTTCTGGTTTCCAAAGACTTGAGTTGTCCCTTGCTCCCTCTCTGAGCCTCAATTTCCTCATCCAATCTTATCTTCACCTCTAACTTCTCCCCTGAGCTCTAATTACCTGCCTGTTATGCCTGTTTTGACATCTCCAATGCATGTCACATTTACTGTGGCTGAAACAAAACATCTGATAATTCCCTGCCTATACCTAATCTGTTTCTCTGTCCATCTCCCCCAATTCAAAGAAAGACACAACAACACACCCATTTGTTCAGGCAAAATATCTGGAAGTCTGCCTTGCTTTCTCTCTTTACCTCTCAAATTACATCATAAAGTCTTGCTGGCTTGGTCTCAAAATACATTCTAAATGTTTCAACGTCTCTTCATTCCTAGTCCCAACCACTCTGGGTCCAAGCTGTTATTTTATGGCATTAGATTATGACAACAGTCTCCACAACAATCCCCTTGCATCTCCTCTTGCCCCAATCCACTTTCCACGTGGTAACAGGGTTCTTTCAAAATGTAAATCAAATGCTGCTGCTTCCTTTGCACTTAGAATGAAATCCAAACATCTCATGCCTTCCTATAAAGCCTTGTATAATCTGCTTTACCCATTAGAAAAATCAATTCATGAAAGCAGCAACATTGTTTGTATCATTCACTGATATATCTCCAGGGTCTCAAATATATTAAGTACTCGATTAAATACTGACTGAATGAATCATGACTTCACGATGGGCCAGGGGCATGTATTTGTCACCTCATGCCTGAAATCTCCAAGACACCCTCAGGGTCTAATTGCAATCACTCCTCATGCACTGTGTAGGAACTCACGGTTTTTTGCAGTGAGCAGCGGTGAGAACCCATTCTCGGTGAACAAGGACCCCTCCACATAACAAGTTGCCTGAGTTGTAGAGGGCAGCTTGGTAGGGATGAGCACTCTTGTCACAAGATGAGCCTTGTACCAACTTATTCTTCTCCTCTGCCCAGGCTGAATGAGAGGGTCTGTGTCAGAGAGAACATCTGGAGATTCCAAGCTGAACCTCAACCCCATCTTTAGCATCAAGTTCATCTTCATATTTGTGCCCATATGGATCCCTGTCCTCATTCCCAACCCCAACCCAGTCCAATCAATTTTAACCCATTTTATCCCCTCATCCATCCCTTTCCCTATCTCCACAGTCAATCCTACCTTTAAACTCCTCTTTATATTCAAAACACCTCCATCCTTTTCCCCATCCCCAAAGCCAATCTCATCCTCAAATTCTTCCCCATCTTCAAGCCTACCTCTCCTTTCTTCATCAGAATCCTCATCCCCCAAATCAACCGTATGTACAAACTCTTCCCTTTCCTCAAACCATCCCTTCCCCACCTGTATTCCCATTCCCCAAACAAAACCCCATCCCCAAACTTCCCCATCTCCAGCCCTCCTCTTCCCTTTTCATCTACATCACCATCCCTAAAGTCAACTTTATCTAAAAAATCTTCCTTATCTGTATCCCCATCTCTCTTCTCCTTCTATAGTCCCATCCCAAAGCCAATCCCATCTCAAATTCTTCCCCTTATTCAAACCAACCTCCCACCTATTTTCTCTAACTGTATCTCCATCCCTAATTCCAATCTTTTCCCATCAACAACCCCAAATCCCATTCCCTTTCTTCCCACCTGCTGCAATGAGAACCAGTGTTAGAATCAGCATCTTCATCACCATTCCTGAGAGAGAAGGCTTCATTAGTCAGTGCTTCAGACTCCACCCAAGACCCCTCCTTCTTTTTCTTCCTCATCCTTTCCTTCCTCCCTGACCTGCTGTGTACTCCTGATTCTTGATTTATGTCCTCACCTAGGTTCCTGATGTCTCCTTTACCCATTCCATATTTTCCTTCTTAGGACCCCAAGAAAGTAGGCACCAGAGAAAAACTGGAACTACACTGGTTGATTCACGGTGTGATTTTGATTGAATCTTTCAACTTCTCTGAGTTCTAGTTTGTTTACTTAGTACTTGGGGCAGGTTATCCTAGGACGTTCCCTAGTTTTCTTCTCTCTTCAAATTTTTCATCTTTGCTCACCCAGTCACTCACTCCTATACCTGTAGGTTCTGGGGATGTTGTATGAGCTGGGGACAGGAGGATCTTACCTGCTGGAAGCTGAATGCCTACTGGGTGAAGCAGAGTATCACGGGCAGACTGAGAGTCAGACAGAGTATGCAGGGAGCCACAGGAGAAAAGGGACTTGGGAATCAGATTAGACACTTCAGAATCAGAGGCAGACAAAGCAGGTGAAAGCAGAGGATGGAGGGTCTGTAGGGCCAGAGCTGTGAGGGACTGCTCCCTGGATGAGGCTGGTCCTGTTCTCAAATGCTTCTACTGCTTTTAACCCCTGTCCCTCCAGGTTCTAGAAGCAGGAAGGTTGGCCCCACCCTTTCCTTCTTAACCCCTACTTCCCACACACATTCCTACCACCCCCACAGCTTTATTCCTGATGACCCCCTGACCTGAGCCTCTAGGGAGGGGAGCACTAGTCCCAGAGTGCTGGTCTTTCTGGTCCGAGGTCTGAGGGAGGTTAGGGGCCTAGATTTCTGGAGAAATAGTCCAGGTTGGGGACCTGGACTCCTGGGCCTGAGGAAGGAAAGGGTTGGGAACATCCACCCCTAGATCCTCAAAGTTGGATGGGGCTTAATGTCTGAACTCCTATGTCTGAGAGGGAAGGAAATGGGGCTTGTTCTTGTGAGTCCCTAGATTTCTACGTCATTGAGAAAGGATCTGTGGACCCAAATGCTGGCCAGTGGGTAGTTCCTGCCTCAGTCCTCAAGAGATTTCTCCATCTATGAGCAGTGTAGGACCTGCATGCCTTACACCAGGGTTCATTGGGGTCAGGGCTGACTCACACACCTACCAGTAAATCCCTCTGTGGGTGAGGACGACCTCCGTGTCTGAGAGAGAGAAGGAGAGAGATGGTGCCTGAGAAAGTGCGTGTCACCATGCAGACACCGCCCCTGCCCCAGGCTGGGGTGCAGACCAGAGACCTCAACAATTGGTCTTTGTCCACCCCCAGCACTCCAGTGCCATGCTCCTGGCAGCTCCATTTCTCAATCTCTCTTCCGGGCGGGCAGCTACTTCAATAGCTTCCTTTTGTCCCTTCCTTTTACCCTTCTGCTGCTGCCCTCTGATTGGCCACTTGCCTCTGCCCAAAAATGTCAGGATTCTGGTCACTCTCCTCCAAATCTGCCACCTTTGGCTACACATGTGTCTCCACATCTGTGTCTTTGTTGTGCTTTTCTGTGTTCATCTCAGTCTGTGTTTGTCCGTGTGTCTGTCTCTCAGCCTCTTTTTCCATTTTTTACTCTCTGTCTCCTCTTTGAATGTCCTATCCTTAAAATCTCTCGATTCATTCATTCTGTCTCTTTCCCATACTTTTCTTTCTTCTTTCCTTCTTCTTTCTTTCCTCTTTCTTATTAAAAACCTCTTTCTTTCTTTCCCTCCATTCATTCTATCTCATTCGAACAATATTTACCTCTACCTATTCATCCATTCATTCTCTCTCTGTTTCTTTCCTCTCTCTCTCCATTCATTTTGTCTTTGCATACCTTTTTCCTCTTTTTCATTCTCTCTCTTTCCTATCTTAATAAAAATGTCCATAGTTTCTTTTTTCTATGGGGGTAGAAGGTGATATGGGGAAGGTAGAGGGTAATATGGGGAGGTAGATGGTGAAATGAGGGAGATAGAAGGTGATATACCACCTCTCGTCTGTCAGTTTGTCATACTGTGTTGGCTTGTCAGTTGCTGTGATTTTGGAAGCTATGCCACTGGTATTTTAAATACCAGCAGGGT